TGTTCATTTGTTGCCGCAATATTTCTGAGCTCCTGAACGTGCTGCTCCAGACGGACAAGTGTATATTATACAATAGTATAATGATGGTTAGTTAGCCCATAGCAAGCCCTTTCTATGGGCCAGGTACTATTCTAGGCCTTTTAGGTGGACTTGTGCATTTAAATCTCCCCAACACCCGCTGGCATAGGTACCAGTTTGATTCTTCTCTTGTAAGTGGGGAAACTGAGGCACAAAGACTATTATGGGGCAGAGAAGGATTTGAATAGGCAGCCTCGTTCTTAACCATTTTGCTACCACCCCTGAAAACCTGCAGAAAGGGCCATAGCAGGGCTGGGATGCTGGGAGTTTGCCGGGGGCATCACCTCCACAGCACCCCTATGTAGGAAGAAAAGATAGCATATTTAGAAAGCACTTTAAGTTGGGGAGGTGGGGACTCGGAGAGGGTGTCAGACCAAGGTCAGGAAGACAGGTCCTCGGACTCTGAGTCTCTGCTCTTGTCAGTGCGGTATTTGTTTGCCCTGTTCAGTAAGTATTTGTTAGATGACTACATAAACCTTCCCGGAAAGTCTTCTGTGATTTTCCCTGTCTCGACCAAACTTCCTCCCCCTTGAGAGGCTTACTGATTCCTGGATTGGTTCCAAGCACATGGCATGCACCCCGTCAACAGTAGCCACTGCCGCCTCTCGCGTCCCCATGGCCCGTGGATCAGCCCCACGGGCACCCCACCCTGAGCTAAACTTGATAGCAAGACTGGAACAGCGCTACAAACTGGCATCATGGAGCACCAGAGCTGCAGGCTACCTTCCAAGCCCCCTCCGCGGGTCAGTCTGGTCAACCTTCACAACCACCTACCCCATACAGAGCACCGTGCTGTCGCCGGGGAAACAGGCGAAGACGGTATTAACAACCACACACAGCGACAGCTCTCGCAGACTTGCCATTCACAAGGCAAGGCTCTGTGGTAAGCCCGTCCGTCATTCCTCAGGACTGACTTGGTGGCAAGCAACGGACACTCAACTGAGACCGACTGAAGTGTTCAGGTCAGAGCCTGGATCTGAAATTTCACTTTAAAAACATCCTTCTGGGGCGCCTGGATGGCTCAGTCGGTTGAACGCCGGCCTTCGGCTCAGGTCGTGATCCCGGGGTCCTGGGATTGAGCCCCACATTGGGCTCCTTGCTCAGCGGGGAGCCTGCTTCTCCCTCTCCCTCTGCCTGCTGCTCCCCCTGCTTGTGCTCTTTCTCTCTGACAAATGAATAAATAAAATCTTTAAAAAAAGTTAAAAACATCCTTCCAGATTCACAGGCTGTGCGTGGGGTGGAGGCGGAGGGGGCTTTGGGAGAGCATCCACTGGTCAGGAAATCATGATTATGAGTGGTCCCTTATAGGCAAGGACAGCTGTGTCCCTCCTGGTCACCATGTGACGCAGACAGCAGAGCATGAGACTCAGCTGGCGAGCACAGTGCTGGGACTCAGAGGGAAGTTTGGACACATCTAAACCACACGCACTCCTTTTTGTAGCCTCCCTGGGCTTGGGTGAGGACCTGACTGACCCAGGCTGGTGAGGGCTTCCAGTTGCTTGGGGGAGGCCGGTCACACGGGTGTTCTGTGTTCAGCCCAGCTCCTTCTCTCAAAATACAAAAGGAGTATAGGGTTAATATAAACTGTTTTCATGTCAACCTAGAATCCGGATTGACTGAAGGCATTTGGGGCTAGGGGGATGCAGGGGTGGAGGATTGGAGCTCTCTGTCTTGGTTTTTCAATGATGAGAAAAATCTCATGCTTTTTGACTTGGAAAGAGCACTTGCCCTGGAGTCAGACAAAGCTGTGCCATGTCTACCCCTTTGCTTGCACCTCAGTCTCTTTATCTACAAAATGGGGACAGTACCACCCTTGTCGCAGAATTTTTGACAGTAGCAAACGAGATAGCGTATGTGATCTGGTCTAACGGTGGCTGGCATGGCGGTGCTGAAGAGAGATTTTCTACTTTCATCCTACGTACCGAAGAGTCTGTTTTCACACAGTACAAACTCCATCTGTGGGAATTCAGGAACTGTCACTAAAGAAACAGTAGCCGAAGTTACAGATGTAATTAAGAAAACCAAATACGCCAAAATCCAAATCTGCAAACCACATTATTCTCTTTGCAGAATAATTCTCCTTTTACAAAAAAACCCAAACCAACCAAACAGAAAACCTTACCCCTTCCCCCCCCCCACACAGAGGAATTTCCTTTAAATGATGTTGAATCATGTAATGATTTTTTTTTAATCAACTCTTTTCAGGAACAAATTGGGGATAAAGCAGAGAATTAGTGACTACTTGGGTGTCGCCAGCTCAGAACTGCCCTAGGTCTGAATCCCCATGATGGGAGCAGGAATTTGTTTCTTAATAAGAGTTAATCTTCAGCCTTTGAGATTAAAAACAAAAAATCTCCTTGGAGATTTTAGCATAAATGTTGCACAGTTCTGCTCTTATGGCCACAGGAAAATGCCATAAAGGGAAGCGTTGGTAAGAGTACCGGAGGGTAATGGCAGGAGAAACCAGCCTCACCGGAGACCTTAGGGTTCAAGCAATAGCGGACCTGCCTTATGCCACATTCTTTTCACGTACCAGGGCCTTTTCATTTTATTTCAGCCTCATAAACACTCTTTTATGCTCAGCAAGGTAGTAGATGAGCAGCAGGTATTTCGTGAGAGAATGTCGTCACCCAGGACACTGAGACTCAGAGGGGTAAGGACGCTTGCCCGAGCTCACACAGCCGGAAGGTGAAGAGAGCTGGATTCGGGGACAGTTCTCTCCATGCCAAAGCCACTGACATCTGGGTCAGCAATCTCAGGCCTGCGGGCCAAACTCAGGCAGCTGAGCTTTTACATCTTAAAAAGATGTAGAACTTGTAGAACTAAGAAAAAAAAAAGGTTGTAAAAAACAAAACTAAAACTAAAAATAAAGAATATACAACCACAGAGGCTATATGTGGCCTGCCCAGCCTATAGTGTCTGCCATCTGGGGGAGAAGTTTGCCAAACCCTGGCTAAGACTGTGACATAGGTCTGCTTCTGAGCTCACCCTGGGACAGCCGGTGAAATGACTCAGGGTCATTGCATCTCTCTCCAAAGCTTCATTGTCAAAAGCACCCTTACTGCAGTTCTGACTCCTTAGCATGACTCAGGGCTGCAGAGTCTTTTGCAATACTTGTTTTGCTGGCTCGGTCGGCAGGTGGCACATACTTATTGGAGGCACCTGTGTTTGCCGGCGCATCAGAGAGAGCAAGGTGCTGAGCAATGTGGCCCACCATATTAGAAGTTCTCCCTCAAGGACCTCCCGTGATGGCCAGTGGCTGGTTCCCCTTAAATCAGAAGCTGGAATAATAACTGACCCAGTCCGGCTGTCTTCACTCTTACGGGATCCTTCCCCAAATTCTGTGAGGTTGAAGAGAGACTATTGTTATCCTAATTAAAAAAAAAAAATCTTTACAGATGATGAAACTATGGCTTAGGGTATAGAGATTTGCACAGGCACACAAAATGGCAGGGCTGCAATTTGAACCCGGTGGTCTCCTAATCCTAAACACCATGCTTTACATCATGTTACAACAGCTTTGCGGGGGGGAGCGGGGGGGTCATCAGCTCATTGCCCTGTGTTCAGAAAAAGTACCCAAAACTTAGAGTTAGGCAAAAGAATGACTGTCTGAGGTATGATTTAACAGAGCCATTTGAGGCTCATCTTGTTCTCTGGGGATATATGCCTTTATTTTGACCTTCTATTTACTAGCAATTGGGACATTGTATTATGTGAAATTGGAGAAGACAAATAGTCATGCACATGATTCTTACAGAGGCGCCATGATTTTGTCTGGTAGAATAGATTACAACCCAAATGCTATATTTTTGTTGCCTTATAGGGTAATCAATCTTGTAAACAATTTGCAAACTTATCCCAGCATTCTTTCAGTGATGCCTAATGGTTTTCTATGTTTTTCGAATGAACCTTGCCATTCTACTGGCTCCTTCATTAATAAGTTAAATAAATCTTTGGCACACGTTCGCCATATATTTGCAGGAGTCATGTTTTTGACTTTGTTGCAAATCATATTTGGACACCCTCATCATGGTTACAAATGGGACTTCCAAGGTCAAACCCACCCAGCTGCAGTGATCTCCCTGGGAGTCTGAAGAGTCTTCTCTCCGTATATGCCTGCTGAGAGGTAGTCCACAGTGGAGGAAAAGCTTTTGATGACACATCTAGGTTTGGCTCTTGGCTCTACCACGTAAAGCCTGTGGAGAAATTGTATGACTTCTCTCACTCTGTTTCGTTATCCATAAAATGGAGATAATACTCCCATTTTTTAAAAGTGAAAAATGAGTAATGAATAACAATAGAGCACAGTGTTGAGGATACATTTCTGAGCCAGACAGCCTGGGTTCACTTCTTGAATCTGTTCTTCTTTAGCCGTGTGAACTTGGAGGAAGTATTTGACTTTATTGTGCCTCAATTTCCCCATCTCTAAAACGGGGTTAGTATCTATCCTGTAGGTTTGTAGTGAGGACTCCATGAGGCAACAAAAATAAAGCTCTTAGAACTGTGACTGGCACACTGCAAGCACTTAATAAGTGTTAGCTCTGACAAAGAAAATGACTATACTTATGGGGCGCCTGGGTGGCTCAGTCGTTAAGCGTCTGCCTTCGGCTCAGGTCATGGTCCCAGGGTCCTGGGATCGAGCCCCGCATCGAGCTCCCTGCTCAGCCAGGAGCCTGCTTCTCCCTCTCCCACTCCCCCTGCTTGTGTTCCCTCTCTCGTGTGTCTCTGTCAAATAAATAATAATAAAAAAAAGACTATACTTATAAAGTACTTATAAGAGCTCTTCGTATATAATTAATACACAAAAATATCGGTAGCTGTCAAACATCAGTGATGTCCACCATCCAGACCCAGTTGGAGTCATGGCAGAAGACGGACGTCCTGTTCCCTCATGAAAATAAAGACCTTCCTTCCTTCCTTCCTTTTTTTTTTTTTGGTCCTATTCGAGTTCAAATCAGTCAAGAAATATGCCCAAGATCGCCCAGCCAGAACTTGAACCCAGGTCTCAGAACTCCCAGCCCGGGTTTGGTCCCCCGCACAAAGCTAAGGAGCTAGACACTGAAGGTGAAGTGCACTGATCTGTGTCCTGCAGTGGCTTGGCCTCTTCCCTGCCCTGGGCCCCCCTGGAGCTGCCAGTTACTCTCCTCCCCAGGGAAACGTCTTCCCCTGCTGCTACCCCTGCTTCTGTTTCACTCTGTCTTCTACTGGGGCACCTGGGGGGCGGGGTGGGGGTGGGAGGAAGCAGGTGAAGGCTGGTGCTGTGCAGTCCTAGGAGCAAAAGAAGAGGGAAGACTGTCCCCTCCTTTCCCCTACCTTCTACCTTCCACCCCCTTGGCCGGTCCTCAGCTCCAGGCTAATGCCTCCAGACAAAATAGTGAAGGATTTCCTTGCCAAGTGATGAACAGAAAAAACAAACCTACACCATACTGCATACCCTGCATACCAGACATTCCTCAGATGGTTTGCTTTGTAGGTGATTGGCCAGACTCCAGAGCTCACCAATGGCAGATGTCTATCTGAGAGAGCAGGGATGGAGACTGGGGGTGGAGGAAGTGGGGGAAGGGGGCTGGGGGGGAGGAGGGGGGAGACTTGTGTTCCAGGTCCTCCTCCCAGAGTCTAGAAACAGGACTCAGACCTCTGCAACAAATTTGTCTGTTATCTTTTCCACCCCCATCCAGCAAGCCATAAACTGAAATCCAGGCATTACCAACATCATACTCCAGAGGTGTGTCATAGGTTACGAGTCATTCAAATGTTTACTGAAGACCTACTATGAGTCTGGCACCATGTTAGGCCCACAGGAGAGCACTTCAGTTAATTCTTGAAAGGGGAAGAAATGGGGTTTTCTTTGACCACATTTCAAGACTGCTTTTATGTAAGTGTGAGGGAAAGGGGAAGCAAAATTTTGCTGAGTACCTAATATGTGGCCAAATGCTTGTGGGCCTTTTCCTCCATGACTGCTGTTTGGGGTCAGCTACAGGGTGTGGGCAGAAGGTCCAACTCAGCTGCTTTAGACATGGCAGGAATGGATTGAGTATTGATTGGGAATTCTGGAAGAATTAGACAAGCCGACAGACAGTGTCGCCAAAGACATAGATTCGTTGTCTTCACTCTGTCCATCCTGGGGACGGGCTCCATCCTGAGGCTGGCTCTGCTGTGGTCAGGAGCAGCTTCTTTTTTCACAATGGATGTGGGAGAGAGAGGCTCATGCCTTCAGCAGACATTTCCTTCCAGCTTCATGGCCAGATCAGGTTGTACGCTCATCCAGAACCCATCACCAACCGGGGGAATGGTGTCCTTGGACCAGCTGGCCCAACCCTGACTAGGGTCAACTGCCCCCAAATGTTGCTGCAGCTCCATAGGGGGAAAGCAGATGCTGGGGAGTGAAGTGCAATGTCCTGTGTACACCCCCATGGGCTTGGAAGCGAAATGACTTGCTCAAAGCCAGGTCACTCTGAAGTCCAGAGCCCCTGTGTATGTTCTTTTCACTTCACTGTGCTGCCTTCTGAGGCAAAACAAGGGAGGGAAGGATTGGGGAGTTGAATTTCAGGTGTCCTTTGGGGCAATGGAGCTGCAGGAGGAAACTCTGGGTTTATTTAAGAACGCCTCCCCCCCTTTCCTTTTTCTTCCAGATGGCCTTCACATTCCATTGGGATTTGGGCCATGGGCACCATTTTATGGGGATCAGCTCACAGCATCTGAGGTCCTTTTAGTATTTCATTAACAACCCCTTCTGGCCGGAGCCCATCTTCTAGATTTTGCCGAACAATGGCGAGTGTTACCAGGAGGTTTCAGGATATTTAGGATCAGATTGTTTCTGTGTAGCTCTTGTTGGGAAGGGAATCCTATGAAAGCAATTTGCAGAGACGCTGTGTGATCAATCCTGTTGCCCTGCGGCATGGTGGGGCCACGGGAAGTGGTGGGGAAGGAAGTGGGCAGCTATGGGATGTAGGAATGGTTCAGGAACAAACCTTCCTTCCTTTTTTTTTTGGTCCTATTTGAGTTCAAATCAGTCAGACTCCCAAACAGCTGATCCCCGGGTCATAAACACCGGTGCAAACGACATGGTCTAAAGTGTATCACCCAGGCCATCGGTGTTGATGAAGTACCTCATCTGTCCACAGCTCTGTTTCAGGAGCTGGGGCAGCTGCATGTGACAAGATGTGATCCCTGCCGGTGACCTAGACGAGGCTGGTCACAGATGAAACTTTCCCTGGTAACGTTACACGCGGTGCGTGGTGTGTGCAAAGGGGGGGAGGGGAGACGGTCATTCCAACGGGACTTCAGAGCAGGGCGTCCCCAGCGACGCTGCCTGGGACATTTGTCCCCCACAGCATCCTGGGGGAAGAAAGGGCTTAATTTAAGGTCCGAGAAGTTGCAGGGACATCATATGGCATATGGTCCTTCGGGGATATTCGATGTACACGAGTATCTGACTGGGCCTGAGACACCTCACAGAGACTTCCTAAGGTACTCACTTGTTGAATATGAGGTTTCTTAAGCGTATTTGCCTGAGAAATGCCCCTTCTCCCTCAGGGAGAACAAGAATGCTCGGTTAGTGTCCCATGGAACCACACTGCCCCCTGCGGTCAAAACCGGCCAGGACGCATAACCAACCGGGGCCCCTCAGGGCCTTCCTTCCTGGGAGCAGCCTGTGAGGGGGAGGGGCAGGTGTGCGCCCCTGAGGCCTCTGCCTCTACTTACCCTCCAGCGTCAGCGCTCTTCATGGGCCCCCTCCCCACCCCTCTCCCTTGCCTGCATGCTTAGGCCCCTCATGCTCTGCCTGTTCCACCCTGGGGCTCCAGCCCAACGGCTTGTCCTGCCCGCCCAGAGCCCGGCCCCAGCGGCTGCGCCCTCCCAGCCTTGCGCCCGAGCTCCCTCGAAGGAGACTACCTTCTCCAGGAAGGTCTGACCTCTGTGGAGGGAAGGACTGTGCCTTTTCTTCTCTTCCCACCTTCCCTCGTGCCCAGAGCCCATCTTCCCTCTCCCTTCCCGCTCCCCCTGCTCGCCCTGCAATATCAGGGTGCTGAGAACACAGTCGGAACCCCTTCTCACTCTGGGTGCCCCGAGCCCCGGCTGCTCACCCACTGGCGAGCACAGAAATCCTCTCTTCAACATTCGGTTCCCGGCTTAACAGAATCAAACTTCTCTTTCTAAAAATAAGACCGAGAGCAGAGAGAGGCCCAAGCAGGCAGGAAGCAACTCATGTGGCTGCAAGTGCGGGGGGGGGGGGGGGGGCATTCCTGCCTCCTCAGGTGCCAGCCCCGCAGGGCATTTCCGCCCCCACCTCCAGGCCAGCCACCAGCACGGGGCGGGCCGGGGGGGGGGGGGGGGGGGGGGGGGGGGGGGGGGGGGGGAGGGGAGGGGCTCCTCCTCTGGGGGTTTGTTAGCAAAACTGCTGCAATCGCATCCTGTCCAGGGCAGAGAAGCTTCAAATGGAAACCCACAGGCGCACTGCTCTGTAGCATGAGTCACTCTTGAGCACTGGGGTTTTAGACTCAGGAGAGAGCTGTGGTTTGACAGGAAAAGACCCCAGACCAGGATTTTGGAGACGCCAGGTGGAAATAAAGCCAAGGCTGGCTCTCCGCAACCTGCACGTTACAGAACAAGCCTTTGGTCAGGCGCTCATACAGTGACCCCCTGGGATGCCCCCTGCCCCCAAACACTTGAGGACTCACTGTCCTCGCCGGCAGTACCTACCACCATCATCCTCCCTGTCCCCGTTACCCAGCAGCCCCTTCAGCATGTCCCAGGCCCCACCACGTGCCCCTGCGGTTCCCTCTGCTCTCCAGGTCCTTCTCCCTACCTCTGCCTGCCTAATTTCTAGCCAATCTGCCAGGCTCAGATTCTCCAAAAACTGTTGGTTAGAAACATGAGCCCTGGAAACAACCTGGAGTTTGAGTCTCTGCTCTGCCACTCACTAGCTGCTCGATATTAACACAGCGGCTGGGAGATCCCCGTTGTGCCTAGCTGTGTGGCCTTGGCTAAGTTACCTAACCTCTCTGTGCCTCAGCCTTGTCATCTCTAAAATAATAAAAGAGTGCCTGTGTGTCATGCTTTACGTGGATGTGGTAGGGACTCCATGGGGTAACAAAGGTCAGCTCCTGGCACGTGGCAAGTGTACAGAAAGCATTAGCTATCTAGAGAGGACACATCCACTCCCCAGTCAATAAAGGCTGCCCTGACTCCCCGCGGCAGTCCCTCGTGCGGGGGCATCTCCCACTGGAGAGGCTCGGCTCACATCCTCTTCCCTTGCTCTGAACTTTTCTGACACATGAAGGTCTGTCCCAACCCCAGGGCTCTGCCCTCTTTGCTCAGGGCCCTGGCTCAAGTGTTTGTGACCTTCTCCAAGGTCCCCAGTGTGGGTCAGTCTGACTGAGCTGCACAGAGGACGGGAATTCCTACAGACAGCTTCCAATCCCTCACCGGCCACTCCCATGCCTTGCCGTATCTGTGTGCTCAGCCCCAGCACACCCAGGAGAACACAGGAACGCTCGCTCCCCTCCCACCCTCCTGGACCGCACCATCATCTTGGCCGTCATCAGTCCCATCCCCATCTTTGTCAAGTCAGAGACAGAAAAAAAAAAAAAAATCACCCATTTGCTTAGAGATCCTACATCCCCATTTTAAGAGGGAAAATAATCCTCTTAGTTGTGACACAGCCCAGGGACACTCTCCATTGCCATGGTGATTCTTTGACATGGCCCTCTTGCAGATTAGAAATGCCTGGCACGTAATCATCAAGACAGTATGGTACTGGCACAAAAACAGACACATAGATCAGTGGAACAGAAGAGAGAGCCCAGAAATGGACCCTCAACTCTATGGTCAACTCATCTTCGACAAAGCAGGAAAGAATGTCCAACAGAAAAAAGACAGTTTCTTCAACAAATGGTGTTGGGAAAATTGGACAACCACATGCAGAAGAATGAAACTGGACCATTTCCTTACACCACACACAAAAATAGACTCCAAATGGTTGAAAGACCTAAACTTGAGACAGGAGTCCATCAAAATCCTAGAGGAGAACACAGGCAGCAACCTCTTCCACCTCAGCCACAGCAACTTCTTCCTACAAACATCACCAAAGGCAAGGGAAGCAAGGGCAAAAATGAGCTATTGGGACTTCATCAAGATAAAAAGCTTTTGCACAGCAAAAGAAACAGTCCACAAAACCAAAAGACAACCGACAGAATGGGAGAAAATATTTGCAAAGGACATATCAGATAAAGGGCTAGTATCCAAAATCTATGAAGAACTTATCAAACTCAACACCCAAAGAATAAATAATCCAATCAAGAAATGGGCAGAAGACATGAACAGACATTTTTCCAAAGAAGACATCCAAATGGCCAACAGGCACATGAAAAAGTGCTCCACATCTCTCGGCATCAGGGAAATCCAAATCAAAACCTCCATGAGATACCACCTCACACCCGTCAGAATGGCTAAAATTAACAAGTCAGGAAACGACAGATGTTGGCGGGGATGCGGAGAAAGGGGAACCCTCCTACACTGTTGGTGGGAATGCAAGCTGGTGCAGCCACTCTGGAAAACAGTATGGAGGTTCCTCAAACAGTTGAAAATAGAGCTACCCTACGACCCAGCAATTGCACTACTGGGTATTTACCCCAAAGATACAAATGTAGTGATCCGAAGGGGCAGGTGCACCCCAATGTTTATAGCAGCAGTGTCCACAATAGACAAACTATGGAAAGTGCCAAGATGTCCACCAACAGATGAATGGATAAAGAAGATGTGGTCTATATATACAATGGAATATTATGCAGCCGTCAAAAAACCCAAAATCTTGCCATTTGCAATGATGTGGATGGAACTAGAGGGTATGATGCTAAGTGAAATAAGTCGATCAGAGAAAGGCATGTATCATATCTCATTGATATGAGGGATTCTTAATCTCAGGAAACAAACCGAGGGTTGCTAGAGTGGTGGGAGGTGGGAGGGATCGGGTGGCTGGGTGATAGACATTGGGGAGGGTATGTGCTATGGTGAGCGCTGTGAATTATGTAAGACTGATGAATCCCAGACCTGTACTTCTGCTGCTAAAACAAATAATACATTACATGTTAAAAAAAAAAAGAAGATAATGGAAAGGGAAAAAAGAAGGGGGGGGGAATCGGAGGCGGAGTCGAACCATGAGAGACTATGGACTCTGAGAAACAAACTGAGGGTTCTAGAGGGGAGGAGGGTTAGCCTGGTGATGGGTATTAAAGAGGGCACGTATTGCACGAGCACTGGGTGTTATACGCAAACAATGAATCATGGAACAGTACAACAAAAACTAATGATGTATGGTGACTAACATAATAAAATAAAATAAAATAAAGATCTGATTTAAAAAAAAAGAAAAAAGAAATGCCTGGCACTTTTCTGAGTCTGGCTTCCCCCAAACAAGGACCCCGGCCAAAGAGTCTGCACCCCCTCCCTCCAGGAAAGAGAAAGTGTAATTCCTGCAGGTTGCATCTCTGGCTCAGCTGTCAGAGGTGAAGCTGATCTCCTGGGGTCAGGTCCCCGTCAGGGCTGGAGAGCAGCATATATATATACCGACTCTGTATTTAGCTGCAGAGCCTTCCAGCGAGGTTAACACCCATGGTCAGCAAGCCCCAGGCTGCTCGTCCAGGAGACCTGCTTCTTTCAGGGGAAAATCATGCATCGTCTTATGTACGGCCTATTTCTCTGAATTTTCTCTGGAGTCAGCAAAGCTGTAGGGAGCACAAGGTCCCTGCGGCTTGTCTTCTGTCGCGTGCGCGCGCGCGCGCACACACACACACACACAAACACACACGCACAACTTCCTCTAACACACGTTAGGTAAGCATGGGGTTGTATTCAAGGTGGAATTTCTCTCCCATGGAAAGAATACATTCTGCTCCCTCCTCCCCCACCTCCCCCCAATTCCCATGCGACTCTCACGCAGCTTCATTCCTTTAAAAGTTTATTTCTGATGAATTAAAAAAAATAATTTATGCGACCAAATCAATAAAGACATCATGACACGGGGCAGAGCTTAACTTTCTTGTTTGCGTCTAGATTTTGCAGCCAGGTGAGAAGGTGGCTGAGGGAAACCCAGCCTCATGCTCTGTGGAACCAGGAGGTGCCGACGCTGACGGGGTGACTGAGACATGGTGGCTTATGGGAAGGCTAGGAGGGGGGCTCAGAGGAAGGCCAGATCCCAACCTCTTTTACAGAAATGTCTCTTCATCGTGTTTTTTTAATGAGTCAACAGAAGCTCTGTCACATGCCTGTTCCTAATGACCATAAACATAGCAAGCAGACGCTCAGGAAGATGGAGCAGTAGTCTCAGGGACTTGGGGATCTTGTCAGGGAAGACACCTCCCCCCCCCGAGGCCACCTACTGAGGCCAGCACCCGGAAGCGACCTTGGGGAGTTGGCACCCGAGCCCCTAGCACAGCTCTCAGGCTCTTTGGGTTTCTGAATGCTACTGCTTCTTCACCTGATGGGAACGTTTGCCCCCAACCCCCTGGTTCCCCTGAAAGTCTCAGAGCTGGCTACTCCCTTGGTCGGCAGAGGGGACACCTCCTCCAGGGGTCTGAGAACTGAACATGTTCAGAGTCTGTGCTGGGGTCTCAAGGCCAGAACCCCCAGAGGCCCTGCCACAGTCCAGAACCTCAGAGTTGGAGGGAGATGTGGGGGTTCACTGCTGAGGCGGTGGCGACTCGGCCGTGAGGTTTTGGCCCAGGGATCGCTTTGGTGGCGGGGCTCACTCTCTTGAGGGGTGGCGAATTTTGGTATTAATACATGGATAAATTAGGAATGGGCTTTGGTTACTAGAAACTCACGGACTGATGAAACACCCAGAAAGCACACAGGGAAAGCCTGTGAGAAGCCCAAAGAGTTTTCTGTGATAAAACGTTTGCTGTGGTTCAGGACGCTCCTCTGCAGGTGGCCAGAGGGCCTCTGACACATGACTGCACAGCTGTCCAGGTCTCACGGTACTGCTCACACTGACCACCCCCACCACACCTGTAGGCACACCGCCAGAGTTTGAGCAAGGGTCCCTAACTGAATGTGGCTTCCAGCATCCTTACCCAAAGCCTCTGAAAGGCAGCACCAAGCAAAATCCAAACTCCCACATCACTGAGCAGGTTCCTTTTTTGTCCTTCCGAGATAGAAATTTCTGGACTCGAAGCTCAGCTGAAGGCTTCGAAGCCCAGTGTTAGTTCCCGTCACGGGGCACACACCTGCTCTCCCTTCACATGGAGAGAAGCATTTCTGTGCTCCAGGCCTGGGACCATTTTTACCTGGAAACCATCTTCTTGTTAGATGCTCCTCAATGAAAGCTCGCACCCCAAATGCAACTCATATCTGCTTTATCTCCCTTTGAAGATGAGCCAGAAGCCCCCTTCACGCCATTTGGGGTCACGTGCCTATGAAATAACTCTCAAAGCACAGTCTTTCAACTGTTTTATGAAATGATAAAAGACCAAGGCAGCCGCGAGGCTGGTCACATACATGTATGCAGTGTGGATGAGGAAAAAGCCAGCACCGTGCCCGGTGATACGGGGAACCAGCTTGCCCAAGCTCCTAGCAGCAGAATCCCCGAGACAGGAGCTTATGTGTCTAGGTCCTACAAAGATAAACTCCGATCCATGCCTGTTGTCTCAGGTTATCAAGGACAGGCCTTTCCACTGGCCTGTCTCTAGGTTTTTCTGTATCAAATGCAGTAGAGGTTTTCAACGACTGGGGCAGGGAGAGAGAACTCACTGCCTGTCCCTGCCCAGCTCCTGGGATGCCGGGAAGTGACAGGGGACACGGGCAAGGGGAGAAGCACATACACAGTCTGGAAGAAACTATGGTGAAGGTGGGCCATGGAGGGGCTCCCCAGGTCCTGTTACATGAGGCCATTAACATACCTTGACTCTGAGCCTTCCGGTCTGATGAACAGTCTCCGAAAGCACCCTGTGCCTGTCCGTGGAATGTCTCTCGGGGAGACCCCCCCACCCCTCGTCCATGGGGCCCTCAGTTTTTATTCTGAGGTCTGTGGGGCTGAAGCCCAGGGCAGGGATGAAGGGTTGTCCTAGCTGCACTCAGGGAGAGCCAAGAGTGTGCTAGAATTTCCCTGAGAAACTCAGGGCTCTGCTGCTCCCTCCTCTTGAGAGTTGGGGCCTCCATCTCCCCCCCACCAGCTCCCAAATACTCTCTCCACTTGCTTTTTATTTGCACTGCATTTCCTCTAACTTCCTACTTGTCTGGGAAAAACAATTCTATGTACAGCACTCATAAGTCTCTCATAAACATGGGGCACTGTCATAAGTTTAATTGAATTTTAAAACTATGACACGGGCTAGAGGCTACTAAAGCAGGACTGTGGGGCAAGGCCGAAAAGACCAAAGCACCCACTTTTACCCTGGCTGCGATCCGGAAGCCGTACCGTGGAGGAGATAGGAGGCGGGACACCGTGTCACTATGGGGCAGTGGAGGATGGCTTTCTTCAAAACCCACGCGCCTCCATCACCACTGTCTTACCCTCAGGAATTCTCTCAAAAACACTTGCTATCTGGCATTAGGATCTATGCCACAAGCCATTCGTCCTTCCTGTACTGTCTTGACTAAAGGCTCAGATTAAAGGTAACTTCAAGGTCTTAAAATTGCCCTTTTAAAGGAACAGGCTCTGAAAGGAGAACAAAAAAGCGGGGGGGCGGGGGAATGAAATCCTGAAGTGTGGCATCCAGAAGACGGACTCTGGAAATACCACCTGCCTTTCCTTGTAAGACGCACTCGTCAGCACAACTATCTTGTTAAAGGTTCACAGGATTGTAGGATGCATCTAGATTTTAAGAATATTAAGACGCAGAAAAAGTGTCCACCCTGGGAGGCAGGACAGGCGACAGATTTTGAAAGCGATGCCTTGCAACCCAGAAATCTAACCATTTTGAGAGCAGAGGAGCCAATGTAGGGCCGGGAAGGTGGAGTCACCACAGAATTGCTTTATTCTAGCTGAATCCCCACCTCGAATGCTTCGGAGGGGGATGTTGTGCGGACTGTCCCCTGGAGGCCGTGGGTTTGTGTGGGTGAACTTGTACGAACTGAAACAGCTCTACAGAGGAAGGAGCCCACACATTTTATTACAGCCTCTGCTCACCAAGCCCTGGCAGTCCCCCGTACTTCTGCCCTTTGGATCATGGAGGAAAAAAATAATCGTCCAGTTTTCTGGGCCAGAGAACATAAGATGGGTCTAGACTGTACAAGGAGCTTACACATGGAGGCAAGAAAGCGTGCAAATGGGAGCAGGAATTCTCCACCCTCTGAGGGAGCCAGTGCTTGAGACACAGAAGGACCGGAGTTGCCCTCCTGGAGTCCACACTGGTTTACGTTTCCGGCTTTTATTAACTGTGTCCAACTCCAACTTCCATCTTCTCCTGAGAGGGAGAGTAATATCTAGGACATGAGTGATTCTCCCCAAGCCATTATTTTTTTCCTCTTAAGGTTTCACAGAAGGCCCAGGAGTGGGGCCTAGAGAAGGACCAACGAAAGCAAAAGTGTCTGAGAACGACATAATACTGACTTCTCTTTTTTTGGTAACAGTTCACGAAACGTGCGCCCCTCTCTCCTGAGATATGGTGAGGCATGAGGGGAGGTGGCGAAGGAGCTGTGGGTGGGACACTGTACCGTGTGACATCGCGATCATGCAGCCGGTGCCCTACAGGACAGAGACATGAGAACGAGCACTTAGGGCTCTGGGTTGGCCCCAGGGGGGAGGCAGGCCGTTTTCCAGGTGAGTGCGCAGCCTCTCAGGAACACTGTCTGTCCAGTTCTTGCAGAGCCATCCCCTGGGGCACGCCATCTTGGCTCCGGTCTTATCCTTCGTCCTCCCTCAGCTCAGTGGGTAGGAATTTATACTGTTGTTGGCGGATCTGGGCCAGTTTTTTCCTTGCTTCTTCCAGTTCTCGTTCTTTTTTCAACATTTCCTCCTGGGCGGCAATGATCTACAAGGAAAGCAACAAGCTGGATGGATCTAAAACCCTCCAGGAAACCGCCCTCCCCAACTCCACTGCCTGTCTCATGAGCTCCCACAGCCTCTGCTATAGGACAACACAGCAAGACACCGGGACTAAATATTTTAGCTCTGGAGACCAGCCTCTGGGCCACACCCGGGGTTCCGAGACCAATGACCCAGGTGACCCAAGAAAATAAGCTGACTCCTGGCCAGTGATTTAACAGCAAACATCTACTGCATCCCTACTGTGCACCAGGTGCTGGGGTAAGCACTTCATGTGGAGTGTTCTATCGTCTTCATGGCAACACGGTGAAGTCCCCATCAAGTGTCCCGTTCTTCCCATGAGGCACCTGAAGCTGAGAGATGGGGGTCCACTTCCCTGAACACCCAGCTAGTGGCGCAGGACCTGGCGAAGTGTCCCTGAAGATGGAGCTGGAGTCCTTAACCACGTGACAGATTTATTTGTTTCATCCTTCTAAGATATGATCCGAGGAATACTGGTTAAGAGATACCAGGTAAAAAAGGTCGAGCTTGTGTTCAAGAACGCCAGGTAGATTGCTTCCCTGTGGGCCCCTTCAGAGCCCTTCCTGGGCTAATGATCACTATGATAGTCCAAGGTAGAGTTAGAGAGGACAGGATTTCCCACACTTATTTGATCAGCGGTCCTTCCTCATGGAACTTCTCATGGAACTAGTGTATCAAGAAATAGATTCTGGTAGAAATGCATCCAGTGTATTTCCAAACACAGGGAATGGTTCAGGAAGAGCTAAGGAAGGCATGGGGATGAGTAACTTCCTGACACTGATAAGAAAGCCAATCTTGGACGCCTGCGTGGCTCAGTCGGTTAAATGTCTGCCTTCAGCTCAGGCAGTGATCCCGGGGTCTTGGGATCGAGTCCTGCAACGGGCACCCTGCGCAGTGGGGAGTCGGCTCCTCCCTCTGCCCCTCCCCCGAGCTGGTGCTCGATCGCTCTCATTCTCTCACAAAAATAAAATCTTAAAAAAAAAAAAAAAAAGAAAACCATTCTTGTATAATGGATTTATATCAACACATACCCCAAACTGCAGGCCTGATTTCCTGAAGTTTGCTCCTTACGACCACGCTCAAGAATGCAATCCTAATAAGCCAGAAGCCTGTTTACTCTTATATAAGTTCTGGTAAGGGGTTACCGTTCATTCTCTCTCTAGGGCCAAATACCTGGAGTGGGGTGGTAGCTCCAAATCCATCATTTTTTTTTAAAGATTTTTTATTTATTTGAGAGAGAGAGAATGAGAGCCAGAGAGCACGAGAGGGAAGAGGGTCAGAGGGAGAAGCAGACTCCCTGCTGAGCAGGGAGCCTGATGCGGGACTCGATCCCGGGACTCCAGGATCATGACCTGAGCCGAAGGCAGTTGCTTAACCAATGGAGCCACCCAGGTGCCCCAAATCCATCATTTTATTTAAATAATACTATTGTCTTCTAACTTCTCTTCTTCCCCTTTCCTATAACAGAGTCCCTGATTTGGGCTGGGCACAGGGCTCCTCAAGAAAGAATACTACGTTTCCCAGCACCTTTTGCAGTTGGGAAATCTGCACTTCTGTGCAGGTTGGCCACATGACTAAGTCCTGACCAGTGGCACATGAGAGGAAGCGAGGGTGGTTAGTGTCCCATCTTGGACCAACTGGCCAAGGCAACGTCTCAGGGATGGTGGGGCAATAAGGCAGATGGAACCTGGGGCTCAGATACAAAGGAACCAGCATACCGTCATAGACTGCTTACACCCAGACTATTTCACAAAGGAGAAATACACCTCCATCCTGTTTAAGTCGTGGTTATTTTGTATCTTTCTTATAACACAGTGCCCATCTCCGGAGTAAACACTGTCTGGATTTAATCACAAACCTGAGCAATGCCCCCTACAAACTTTGTTTTCACTACAACATCATCATCATCAGCTTTGCCAAATGCTGCTTTCTGGGCTGCACGAACAAGATTATCTGAGGCTCTTTTCACAGCATTTCCTGCTGCCTGGAGAGGGAGAAAAAAACATACATTATATCATTAGAAAGGGCCAATTTGGATTCAGCAAGAATAGACATGAAAGTACAGTTCATGGAACTCTGACTCGATTTATCATCCTATCATCCAGTGATAACACAGCATTTCTCTTTCCTTGGCATCCATCTGCCTGTCCAGCCGTCCATCTATTCTACCAACACTGGCACTTACCTAACCTTAGGTCATTCACAGAGAAATGAGATACAGTTCCTGGCTCCCAAGGAATACTTTTGAGGGGGGATTATACTTATGTAAACAGATGACTGTAGCAATGTGAAATGTGTGTTCACAGACGCAGGTCCAGGGCTTGTCTTCTTGGTCTACCTCCCCCTGCCCCATCCAATTTAGACAAACACAAAGACTTGGCTTGGATAGCACTTTTTCTGTCTGTTATGGTCTTACCCACACTCTCCCCACAGTGCTCCCAGAGAGCTCTGTGCTGGCTTCTGGGTGTCCCCTCCCACACTTGTGGTTGCCCCTCTCCCTCCTGGACAGTGACTAACTCGGGGGCAGGGGCTGTGACTTTTGTCTTTGCCTCCCTAGCACCTGGCACGTGGGTGCCCAGGGTTGGCACTCATTGAATGCTTCCTGAGGAAATGAAGGGTACGAAAGCACAGCCTCACCCTGCATGGCGGGGGGGGGGGGGGGGCGCGCTGGGAGCTCCACAGTAACTAGGGCCTCCACAGGTGTGTTTTCGGAGGCACAGCTGGGCTTTTAGGTCAAATACTCAAGGATGGGGCCATTGCTAGAGACAGGTAAAGAAAAGCTTTCCAATGTGAAGTCTAGATCTTTAGTAAGGGCTACAGCCCACACTGGCTTACTCTTAATGCGCATGAAGCAGGGCCCCCGGGACTTGTCTTCTTGCCCCGCCCCACCAAAATTTGGAATTTTCTTCTAATGGTGGTCCAGGCTTCGTTAAGTCTCCCATATTCCTGGCTCAGGTCCCCTCAGAGTCAAGGACTTGTGCATGGGGATGAGCCATCGGAAAGCTGAGCTCTTCGCAAAGTAGTTCATCTGGTGGGTGATCTAAAGTGACCCATGGGGACTATGAGGGCTTGCACCAGAAGGGAAGGTAATACCAATTAATATATGACAAGTTCATTCTCAAAATAGCTTTATGAGGTCAGAGGTCACCATTGCAGTTCCCTGATGCAGAAACTGGGTTGAGTAACTTTTCCGAGACCCTGCAGCTAGTATGTTACAGAGCTGGGATTCAAACACAGGTCCGGCTAGCCCCAGATGTGACACTGCAGCACCCAGTTACATCAGTAATGATGACAAGGAGAGCGATGCTGTGCTATGCCCGTGTAAATCCTCGGGGCTCACACACGCACGTTCACATCTCTTGGCCTTCATAAGAGCCAGTGTGGGCATCTCTATCCTTATTCCACAGCCAAGGCAGCTGAAGGCCTGGAGAGTTTTGAGTGATCTGTGTTAAGATCATGCACTTAATACATGGCAGAGGCAGGACTTGAACCCAGGTCTCTCTTAACTCAGGATGTTTTCCCCAGAAGTGTCCCCCAATCCCATGAACCACACATTCACCAACATGTAACTCCCCATTTCCCCCCTGGGTTTATCCCAGGAGTCAAATGAAGGTAAGGGAGGTGGGTGAGGGAGACTCAGGAGGACTGAGTAACAGAAACACACTTCAGGACTTTCAAAATGAAATGGAATTTCCAAGTATCGGTGAAATTGTTCAAGTATTTCTGCCATTTATGATTTTTATTCGTGACATATAAACTTTTTTTCCAGCCATATAAACAGTCTGCATTCTAACACTTCTAATGTCTAGGAAATCTAGAAAATTGGAAACAAAATGTCCAAAGTATAAGGAAATTCTGGCATAATCAGGTGACGTAATATCATGCAATCATTAAAATGAGGCTCATGGAGAATGGACCAATTAGCTTTATGTAGAGGAATTATGAAGCCTTTTCTTCAAATAAAATGCTATGTATGATAAAATGTTAAGTGGAAAAAAAGCAGAATGTCTCTTGCTATGATGACAAGCAGTTATTTTATACAGACATAAAAACAGGAAGAGAAAAAAATGGTAACATGTGACATGTGAAGAGGTTGAGGCTCTGTGATTTTTTTTTTCATCCAAACATTTCCTTCACTGTGTTTAAAACACTTCTATAATTAAAACAATCAGGAAAACTTGTATGCACTGGGAGGGATTCGACTGTAACTTTCATCGCGAGCATGTTCTTTGGGCTCTGGGAAACCTCAGCCACAGTCTTCTAGAAATTCCTCAGTCCTTTTTCTCCTTTCTTTTGCAAACAGTGCATGAGGGCCCCTACTGGAACAGGTACCATCTCAGGTGTGAGAGATACGCAGATAAAGACGTGGTGCCTGCACCTAAGAATTCACGGCCTTGTCAAAGGCCGATCTTAAAATAAACGTGGCGGTCCCAGATGACAGGAACTGTTAAGAGCGGTCTGGCCAGGGGCTCTATCTGGAAGGACAGGGGAGGGAATGACTGCCAGACATGCAGGAGTTAAGGAGGGCTTCCCAGAAGAGGGGACTCTGGAGACGAGTCACAAAGGAGGAGGAGGAGATGACCAGGTGGGGCTGGTGGGGAGGGCCCCAAGGCCTGAGACCAGAAGGCACACATGGAGAATGTCAGTTTGCTGGGGCAGCAAGTGTAGGATGCATGGCTGTACTGGGTAGAAAATGAGAAACGTGGGACGGAGTTGGCTGATGGAAGGCCTGGTGGGTCATGCCAAGGAAGTGAGACTGTCCCCTTTGGCGACACTTACCCGCTCCAACAGGAGTATTTTCCCACCAGCATCAGTGACCATTACCTGTAGCCGCCTCATGGCCTCTGAATCCTGGTCGGCCTTCACCTTGCAGGCCACGAGCAGTTGGGCCGTGGAAGCAGCGACCTGCTTGGCGGATGAGATGAGCTTCTCCTCACTGGCATGTCCCTGAACGGAGGCATTGGCCGCCTCACAGAGACTGCTGGTTGCAGCTGCCACCATCCGGGCCTGGGGACAGTCAGTAGAGAAGTGAGCCAGGGCCCGAACCTCCCTCGGGGCACCCAAAAAGCAATCGGGAAGGAAGGAGGTGACTCACGGCAGAAATCAGCCCCTGGGACCACTGTCCGTCATCGGCAGCATTGGCAGGGATGGAACCCACCTAGAGATGGAGGGCAGAAACCGGGAATGAGCGCCGGAGAGCGCAGCAGAACCTGCAGCCCCTCACGCTCTACCTCGCTCTGGAACTAGAGGGAAAAACATCTCTTCAGATACACAGCACCACCAGCATGAGAACGGGACGCCCTTGCTGCCCCTCCAAGACTGTGCCCGCACATCCTGGCTGGGGTCCCTCTGGGCCCCGAGGACTTGATCTGAGACACTCAGAACGGCCACCATTTTGTTTCGAGGTAGTGTTTCCGGGCAAACTGTGCAGGAATGATGGATCGGGGCTGTCCTCCCACGCTTCTTTCCTCTGCCGACCTTTCTCCACCTCAAACACAGGAGCCACTGAGGCCTCTTCTTTCAAGGGCCAAGGGAAACTCACATCTCTCCTGATTGCTGACCCTAAAGCCATGCTGTGACTTTCTGGCAGGTGATGGGGGGCAAAAAGGCCCCTGGTGCCTTTCCTTCAGTGCAGCTGATGGCAGACGCTTGCGTTACGGAAATACAGACTGTTTTGTCAGGGGTTGGGAGAGAAGTAGGAAGCTAGACGTTAAGATGATCTCTGTTTCTATTTAGAAATTACAGCAACAAGTGAAACATTTTCTGTCCAGATGCAGAGGGAATGGCTTTGGGAGGGAAAAACCTTTACATGGTGGGAGGTGCCTGGGGAAGTCAGAGAAGAGTACCTCAATTTGAATATGAAATTAGGGATCTGTCAGCAATTAATAGGCACCATACCAAGGCTCAGTGAACATCAGATAAAACCCCAAAGTCCTGTCTATAAGCCTGTAGTTCACCCACATCCCGTGGAGCCTCCTTTACCAACTTTCTAAATACTTGTATATATTCAACAAATGCTTGAACAAGTTAGATTCTCTTAGTACCTAGCAATTTGGCACACAGTCGGCCCTCTATCAAGAGACTGGAATTTTGGGCGCCTGGGTGGCTCAGTTGGTTGAGCAACTGCCTTCGGCTCAGGTCATGATCCTGGAGTCCTGGGATCGAGTCCCACATCAGGCTCCCTGCTCAGCGGGGAGTCTGCTTCTCCCTCTGACCCTCCCCCCTCTCGCGCTCTCTCTCTCTCCAAATAAATAAATAAAATCTTTAAAAAAATCAATAAAAATAAAAGAGACTGGAATTTTTAGGTAGGATATTCTTCTCAATGATCCATTTTTAGTCTTTACATATTGATTGGTCAGCAAATACTTAAGTGAGGTCAGCCCTCTACCGCATCTACAGGGCATAAGTGAGAAGCACAAAGGGACAGACTGCATGCCAGTGAAGAGACAGACATACACATGTTAATAAAAACAATACAACACACGATGGTGTAGAAACAGGAGCCGCGGTATATGGGTTGGATTAGGACAAGGTTTAGCTCATGAGAGATTTTGTGGAGGACGACAGATGGCCACTGGTTGGGCATAACTTCCTGTCTGTACTACAAGTTCTGAGGTCAAGGCACAATCATATTTGTCTACTTGTACCCTGACAGCAAGGCCTTTTAATATCAAACAGAAGTAATTGACGATTACAGTGACCGAACTCCCCAAACCCACAACCTGACGGGATTTCGGTAGTGCCTCCAGATTCGAGAGGCTCTCCACAAGATGCAATTTGGATGGAGTCATTCCACGGTGTATGGGAACAACACACGGAATATTTTAAACTGGGAGACCCTCCCAGATGCAGCATTAGTCTAATAGACTATTAATCCTTTGGGTCACTGAAACAGAACTATGCTTTCATGCTAATGCAGATGGAATGGGTGACTGGGGATGAGGCAGATCAAAGAAATCTCAGACTTAAAACCAGACTGGCCTTTTGATCAATGGGCTCAGGAAAATGCTAACTGCAGAGTTGGGCAGCACGTCGCTACACAGTTCTAAAGAATGGACTGAGCACCGGAGCTGGAAAGCGGTATTACGAAGCCCCTGACTCTGGTGCTCCCAGAGCCATCCACTAGGAAAATATGACAGTTTACATCTTTAAATACAGTGAGAATATAAATGTCTTGTTCGGGGCCTGATCGCGGCCTGGAACAGGATGCTTTCCTTAACAAGAAGCAGATGATTGGCCCAGAAGCCAAACCCTTCATTCTGGATGTCAGGTTTAAGCAAACAGTTTTCAGTCAGATGGGGCAGAGATGGGCAGTTCAGGGAGGGAAGGCCCGGCACCGGTTGCCTCGGGCCAGGCCACAGGCCCTCCCATCTCCTTGGCCCTGAGAGGCTCTCACCGCGTGCGGGTTTCAGCACCTGGCCAGCGAGGTTCACCCACCTTTCCTTGGGCCACCAGCTCCCTCTGGGCTGCCGAGGCCGACTTGACCAGGGCACTTGTGGCAGCAGCAATGGATTTAGCAGCTTCCAAAATCTGTTCTTCAAAGTCCAGAGTCTCGTCTGCTTGCTAGAACAGAAGAAAACAACATCATGTGCCATTCGCATCCACGAAGGGCGCTTTTTGCCAAACTACTTACTTCTTGGTCCCCTGGCTCTTCATCCGTTTCTGACTTTTTGGCTGACACACCACACCCAGGTGGAAAGGCCTAAGCTGGCGAAATGCCTCTCCATCGGCTGCCTCCCGCTACCTTGGTTCTAAAAGGTACAAGCTGCTGGTGGTGGCATTCTACACACATTTCCGATCAGGAAGGTCTAAGACTGTTTTTCTAGACCAGAGTCTTTAAACAGACATAAATTCACTGCGAATAAAATATGCCCAAATGGTCCCATGGGCATCAATAACCAAAATTTAAATAATCATCACAATCCAAAGAGGGGGGTGGTGGTACACTCTTCCAGAGCTTAAGGCTCAAAAATGGGTTGAAGAAAGGAAAGGTGGCTATTAGTTGTGAAAAGCCTTATTTTTCTTGGATTTGTAAGAACAAAAGTGAAAAAGCATTTGTACTCTTTGTGGCTGAGCAGGGAGAGTTCCGTACCACCCGCAGATCACCAGAGGCGGGAAAGACACCGAGGCGACATGACATGGGAGGTGGAGCTGTTCAGTCCCCCAGAAAGCTGGGGCCCGGCTCCACCTGGGGAAGGGCACTGTCCCCCTCCCCCCGCCCCCCCCGCCCCTTGCAGGTGCTGTCAGGCCGTGAGGGCTCTGCTCCAAGTTCACCAGCACCGTGCCCCGTGCCACCAGAACAAGCAGGGAAGCTGCACAGAAGCGCTGGTAAGTGTGGCGAGTGTAAGGACCCTGGTCCTGGGCTGGCTGGGATGCAGCATCACCATCTGGGGTGGTCAGACTAGATGCCCTCCTCCAGGTCCCCTCAGGACTCGCGTTCTGTGAACCTAAGTAGGGTTAAGTTCCCCTTTGGTTAAAGAAGGTTGACGATGGGGCTGGTATCTTTCAGGCATTGCAATGATGGTCAGCTAGAGTATTACTTTTCTTTATGTGCCAAAAAAGTAGATAAAATTTACCCTGTGAACCAATTTTAAGTGTATAATTCAGTGGCATTAAGTACATCTGCAACGTTGTATGGCAGTAATATGTTTTTTAAGAGCAGCTACTATGTGCCAAGTGTCTTGTTAGGCATTCCATGTATGTTACTTGTTTAATTCTCACCAAGCCAGAGAAAAACAAATCTTACACTGTATAGTCATTCTTATAGTCACAGTGAGAAAATTGAGGCTCAGGGAGGTAGAGTGTTGGGACAAGGTCACGTGGCAGCATGATTCCAGACTCTAAACCAGATCTAAACCCCATTCTCTCTGACTCCATAAGGATGTTTTTACTAGCCTGCTCACCCCTGGGGTATCAGTGAGGACTAATTTTGTATCAGAGGCTCAGAGTTGGCCACTAATGGTCCTATAGGAAACATCAGGCAGGATGGATACATAGATACATTTTTTTTTCCAGTTCCTATTCATTATGGTTGCATCTTGAACTATGAGAGATGCCAAGCTCATTTTTATTTTCACAACTCTACTGTTATCAAATAACATTTCAGTGCACATCTAGGGACTCTGACAAAGGATGCCAGCATTTTAGAAGTTCGTGGACAGAAGCCATATATTCTTTCTTATCTGACAAAATCTTGCTCTAGGAGCATTCAGGACAGAAATGGATTCAGTTGCCGTGGATTCATTCTGGAGTAGGGGAGCTTATAGTACTGGTGGAGTATAAAATGTGTTTACTGAAATAGAAAGACAACTCATTATAAGACACTCTGGCATAAAAGGTACTGTTACACATAGGCTCCAAAGAAATTGCATTAGGCTCTGATATCTATGGATATCTATTCAGTGACACTGATTTAAGAGCCTGTAGAAATTCATTCTACAAAAGAAATTCAAGCGTGTAACCAATTAAGGTACCAGGGAAACCATGTAAGTTTTGAACCCAAAGGGGGCCCCTTCCACTGGGACAGAGGAAACGGAAGCCCATGGTGGCTTCTTAATGTGTCCCAGATCCTTGTCTCAGGTGGCCTCCAAGGTGTGTGGAGTACCCCATCAGATTTCTGATTTCCCAAATTTTAGGATCTACGAAAATGGAATTTTCTTAAAATTAAATGCTAACTCTAAGCATGGATAGATCTGAGAGAATCATCTTGTTCCAACCAATTTTACAGGCCTCGCCCACATCTTCCATTGCCCTGAAGGTTTTTTTTTTTTTTTCCTCCCTAGAACACGTACTTGAAATAGATATTCAGCTTGGAAATATTTTTGACACCCACAGATTTTTCTTGCAATGGCAACTAGTATAAATGCCCTCTGATGAATTTTTGTTTTTCTTTCCATAAACATCTCTATGCTTTAAAAAGGACGTGGCAGAAAGCCTCATCTCTGGGGGACACTTGCTCTGACTAAAAAGTACTAGAAAGTTTCCCAAGAAAGGCTGAATAAAGCTGAATGGGATGAGTACAGGGGCGGAGGGCTAATGTTTAGACACTGTAGGCCAGGTTTATCACTAAGCCTAAATGCCCACCTCTCTCTCCTGCTGGAAATAAACATCAACACCTGGTATCTCCTCATGCCATACACAACTTCTAGCCCGTAAGATGGGATTCTCCCCGAGCCAAGCAGACTCAGAAATGTCGAAGGGTCCCTGTCAGGGCTGCCCGTCTGCTTGGCTCCCACCAGCACACGCCATGGCATCTGGGAGGAGGATGGTTAAGTGCTACAGAGGGGAGAAGGGCGCATTTCCACCACGTTGCAGAAGAGGAGAGAAATGGAATGGGCTTGGTCTTCAAAGGACCTTCCTAACGAAAAGGATCACAACAAAACTGCAGGATTTGCCAACAGAATAAACCTCACTGTAGCTGGAAGATGGAGAACAATGACGACAGTAATGTGGAGCTGCCACAAGGAGACCCTGAAGCATCCTGAGGCCCAGGGTGCCATGAACTTAAGAAAATGCTTTCATTACGTGGGCTAATAAACCGACAGTCCTCCCTCAGAATCACCCAAGGATCTGGTTAAAGATGCAGATTGTGTTTCAACAGGTCTGTGGTGGGGCCTGTGAATCTTCATTCCTAACGGAGGTGGACTACTCCATGGGAAATGCTGGCCTGGGTGAAGGAAAACAGACCCCAGTTAACCGAAGCTTACCAGCCCGCCCTCGTCCAGGGCACGGACTGTGTTTTATTCGACTGATGTGCTCTCTCGAGCACACTATCAGGCAGTGTAGACTACATGGTAAATGTTTGCCGAATGAATGTATCCATTCAAAAGGAGTCTCCCGAGTTCTAGAGTTCAGCCAGGGGACAATTTACATGCTTGGAGAAGGAGAAATGCACTGAGTAAGCGTCCCCATCAGTAACTGTCCATTCTGTGTTCCCCGGGGCGGGGGGAGGGGGGGAGGCACACACATCTATGCGCTGGCTCCTGCCCTGTTTAAGGCAGGGGGCCGTTACTTGTACGCCCTGCCTGAACCCCTCAACCTGTGTTCACAGCCTGTTGTGACACTGACTCATGCATATACAGAGGTAAACAGCATTCCCAGCATTTTGCAAAGGGGTTCTCTTAGCAAAGCAGCGCTGAGGGAAAGAGTACCAGATGTGCAAACTGAGAATCTGCTCTGCTTCATGAACGTGTTGGCTACAGCCTCCGAGTGCTGACTCTGTCTTCTCATCCTCTGTTCAGTGATCTTTTCCCTGTTCCCCTCCCCCTCCCCTGTGAGAAGGCCACTGGCCAGCTCACCAGTTCTCAGCAGCTGTCTTTCCTGGACTGCCCACTGAACTTCAGCAGAGGATGGGCTTATCCTCACCTTTGCTTTCTGGTAGCTGCGAGAAAGGTCCAGGCACCCTTTGGGTGGTATTTTTCCTCTTTGGTGATCCCCTGCAGAGCTCCTCTTTCTTAAAAAGTTAGAGGTCTGCTGAGGTCCCTCTGGGGAAAGGCCACATTTTCGGCTGGCTCCCTTGTTGCCAGCTTCCTGTGCCCTGGAGAGCATTTGAGGCCCCTGTCTTGCTCTGATCGGTCCAATGTCTCAGGAGCTTGAGTTCCACTGGGGTAGGAGGTAAGGCAAGGGACAGAGGCAAGGGAAAGGGGAGGCCTTTCCTCATTTTTATTTTGCCTTTTGGCCTTTTAGGGATTCTGAGGATATAATCTTTGCAGTACTGATTTCCTGAACCTGCCCTCCTTGCTACCTCTCTGTTAGGGGTGCTATAGGTAAATTATAAATATATGTAGAGCAATACTGACCCATAGTAAATGCTCAATAACTCCTTGCAATTAATTTCATTATTACTTCCTTTACTATATATATTCCATGGTTTTTTTTTTATATTTTATTTTGTTTTGTTTTATGTTATGTTAGTCACCATAGAGTGCAATCATTAGTTTTTGACGTAGTGTTCCATGATTCATTATTTGCATATAACACCCAGCGCTCATTATAACTCCTGTGGTTATAAAAATTGTTTTTTAGATTCTGGGCTAAGCTAGTCTGGCTCCTGCCTCATTTAAGGCCTGTGTAGGCTGACAAGCGCTGTTGTTTTTCTCTCTCTGGACCATTTTTCCACTCATAATTAGGAGAAAGTTTCTAACTGCCATTTCTGATGATAGCCTAAAATAATTATAAGTAAAAACCATAAACCAAAGATGAACGGAGGGTCGAGTAACAGACGCTACAGACTGGCGCAGCTTCCACCCTCTCCCTCAACACCAGACAGGAGAGAATCTGCTCTGCTTCATGAACGTGTTGGCTAGAGCCTCCGAGTGCTGAATCTGTGTCTTCTCAACCTCTGTTCAGTGTCCTTTTCTCTGTTCCCCTCCCCTGTGAGGGCCACTGGCCAGCTCACCACCAGCTGTCACCACTTAGAGCCCTCTGAGCTCTAAGGCAGTGCCCTGCACGTCCTGACCATCAGTCGGGTTTCCGTTAGTAGCTTAAGGAGGAACCTCAACTCTCCCGGTCCTTCAGCTTAGACGTGTTACAATTCCAAATGAAACCTTTCTTCATTAAGAAGG